TTACTATTACTGTTACTGTTACTATTACTATTCCTATTACTATTACTGTTACTGTTACTATTCCTATTCCTATTACTATTACTATTACTGTTACTGTTACTATTCCTATTCCTATTACTATTACTATTACTGTTACTGTTACTATTACTATTACTGTTACTGTTACTATTTCTATTCCTATTACTATTACTGTTACTGTTACTGTTACTATTCCTATTACTATTACTGTTACTGTTACTATTACTATTCCTATCATTATTATTATTACTATGATTATTACTGTTAATTTTACTATTTCTATTACTGTTACTGTTATACTATTACTATTATACACTATATATACACATGATGTTCATGATTCATGATTGTTTATCGGAGGAACGCAGAACCAACAGTCATCAATCATTCCTTCGAGATTCCAACGCAGGGTCAGACCCTCATGTCATGACCTGATGAGCACGGTCAGCACTTTTGGACGAAGACAAAAGCAAACGTATGAAGAGAAGTATCGAAAAAATCGAAAACACATATTTTGTTCCCTGCAGGGGTGCCTGGATACTGATTGAAAGTCTGGGTGGCCTGCAACCAAACAATGCATCGAGCACATGTTTTAAAAAAATATATCCACTTGTTCATGTCTGAAAGAGAGAAAAGAGAGATCAATAAAGCCAATCCCAAGAGCATCCGAACTGTCAGATTGTGCCAGGAGACTCATGGACGGCTGTTTCACGAGCAGAGCCTTTGCCACGGTCTGCGGGGCATGTGGTTGAAGCACATTGCCACGACCCATTTGTATTGAACGCGGCACATAGTATATAGTTTTGTTCAAATTGGCATCGATCCGTCATGAAACGCCATTTGGCTGCCGGATATATAGATGGGATCCTTTCCAGCCGGATGCGTTTTTGGCTGAACAGCCCAACCACACATCGGTCAGAGTCATAGCCATCATGGCCGTGTCCAACTTCGAAAAGGCTAGGGCGGCTAGGGTGGTTGGTTGGTTTAAACAAACATGTGGTTCTAATGGATTACACACAAATGTCGGATGAGTCACTAAGAGTGACAAAGCTTAGCACATTGGAACATTGGGCTAAGAACTGGAACTGGCCGTTCGAACGAAGCCCTGGCCGTTTGTTTCGCCATTCAGTCTGAGGAATCTTCGCATCCTGGAGGTTCAGAAACGGAATAGTGCGGGCCTTGAGAGTCTTCTCGATGAGCCAAGGTAGGCATTGCCTTTATGCCCTTTGCTCCTAGTAGCGTCCTTGCTCCTAGTAGTATGGCCAGGAGCCCCTAGTAGCGTCCTTGCTCCTAGTAGCGATGCCCTT